CCAGCAAAGCTGATGTTTGGTCAGGAACTTCGGTTGCCAGTGGACCTGATTATAGGACGCCCACCTTACGAAGAGTTGCCTGAAAATGTGACAGAGTTCGTGAAAGTGTTATCAGAAAGGATGGATGATATTCACCATCAAGTGCGTTCAAACTTGAAAACGTCTGCTGATTCCATGAAGCTATGTTACGATAAGAAATCTACTGAAGTCAGCTTTGTACCAGGAGACAAGGTGTGGTTGTATAATCCCAGGAAGACCAAAGGGAAGTCTCCTAAGTTGTCTTCTCCATGGGAAGGCCCATATGACATAGTGGATCGTTTCTCAGACGTGACTTTCCTAATAAAATGTGGTCAGCGAGGTAAGCCAAAGGTGGTGCATGCCAACAGGCTTGGCGTTATCACGGTCCAGGACATTTCAGTTGGAACAACGGAACAAATGATGCTGCTGAAGACGTGTCACCTGAAAAAGTCACTGTCGAAGGAGAAACTCTACCTGATTTAGAGAAGGGAAACAATGAAGCCCTTGATGAAGTTACTACCACTGATGTGACTGTTACTGATAATAGGACATTTCCTGATGGAGCAGATGAACCCCACGTGAAGCAGAAGCCAACGAGACGGAGACCAGTATGGAAGAAGTTACGTCCTGTAAAATTAGGAGACTTTGTTGAATTTTAATTTTGTGTTTGTACATTCTGTACATTTAATCAAGTTATTGTTAACTATCTATTGAGTTAATGAAAGTGGCTATTGTTCTGGATGAACAATACTAAGGAAGGGGCAGTGTTACGACAGCGGAAGTCTCGTGATGCTGGTAACATGTCATGAGTTTCTAGAAGGATCATGACTGTTCCTGGCAACTCTAGTGTTTGCCAGACGCTCTCTGTTTTTGTATATAAGCCAGGCAAGTAAAGCAGAGAAGAGGAGTGACGGCATATATAATTGCAGATAAAGAGATAGAGACAGATAATTGAGTCAAGTGAGCGGTAGTGACGGTAATAAAGTGCGTGAATCGTTGTGAATTATAGCGTGTGTTTAACTTAAAGTGACTGTGGAAATTAAGTATATTACAAAGTTTGTAACGAGAAAGAATAAACTAGTTTTAATTAAGAAAGGGCTTGTATCGCTGAAGTTTCTCGGAAATAATTTTTACGGGAAATTATCAAACGAGCAGATACGTAACAATACATTATTCGGTTACAAGTATAGCATCGCACAGGTCTACTACAGGTACAGTTATGGTAAACTAACCTTTCTGTTAAGTATCTTGTCCATTCTTCCACCAATGCTCATATTGTTTTGTAAATTTTAACACATAAGCAAAAGATAGGAAGTGGTATTTCAAGTATTTTTGTATTAGCCAATTATACGTTATCTAACAATAACACTGCTGGGTACAAATTAGTCAAGGTTTCTTTAAATTCTCCACAAAGCCTAAAAAACCATTTCTAATCCGAAAACCCTCCACCCCTCCCCACAAACAAGAAGCTACAGTTTCCATCCATATATTTTCCAGTATTTTATACATCTAAAAGTGTCTTTCCAAAATCTTAACATACTATAAAACTTTAAAATACGACTTACTGTTGAACTTCACAACATGCATGGATGACTGCTGAGACATAAATCAAAGACTTTTTGCACAGGGTTAGAGGTAGAATGAACTCTCAATGCTTGAGGTGGGGTGGAAACATAGTTTTTCTTGCCAGTAGATCTGTCATTATGAGTGTTAGCATTTGTGACTGTTCCGTCAATACTGCTAAAGACTGCTTCAAATTTGCCACATTAGTTTCATTAACTTCTATAGTAACAGTTATTTTCTGCTACAAGTAAACTTAAGCTTAACTAAACTTAAATTATTGCCAAATTAATCACTGGACACTGAACTAAAAAGCAAGCAATCTATTCAAAGTGAAACTGAAATACCCTAAATGAAAGGATCCCTGTTCGGGTGTTATTGTGCTAAGAGTTTTGAAAATATGCTATTTTCAGAGGTCGCTGATTGCACTATTCAGTAGAACATATACATTTCAAAGGTTATTGTTAACACTGCTACAACCAGGGTCAAATAAAAAACGAACTTATTATTATTTTTATTAAATTTAAGTAACCACAGAAATCCAAAAACCGAACTTTCAAACAACTGGAATATAAATTTTATCACTTACCAAAAAAAAAGTTAGTAGATACGCCGCTAACCAAGACTTGTTACTTATGCTAATGAACAATGCAACATGAATATTAATAGTATGAACTTCATTAAAGAAAGGGATTAACAAAACAACCAGAAGAATAAAAACTTTATTCCGAGAAAAACACAATATTTCAAAATTAAATCACTTCAAGATCAAAAACAATATGGAGTAACATCATCAATAATTCGTTTTAACTATATCTCAAGAATTAATTCATTTAAGCTCAAGGCAGGTATGTTTTAGTGGTTAGAGCACGAGGTTACATTTCACGTGACTAGCTAATTTACATAATATTTTACAACATAAATATCTGTACGTCACCGCTAGGGGAAGTTTGTGTCAGATTCATAACATAAACATACTCAAATTGAACGTGCTCTAGCTGTAAGGTGAGTTAGCACTTTAACATAACTAAAAATTCATGATTAAGCTAAACGACAGAAGGAATAATGAATGAACAAAAAATAATATTTTAACAAAATAAAATTAGAATTTGCTATCTCACAAAATGATAAACTCTGTTGATAAATAATGACTTAGAGGTGCGTAGAATTGGTTTGTCGTATAAACTGAGGGTCAAAGGATATTTCGATGAAAAAAAAAAGATTATCCCTTGTCTGTTTTACATTTGCTAGTATTCTAGTACATCGTAAAAGAATGCACCGAACAATGCAACAAGCGTGGTTGGTTGGAAGCAACGAATGTTTTATAATTAAACCGTTATCACAAACGTGAATTTCGTAAAGATGTAACAGTTTCAAAACATGGCTATAAATTTTTCTGACATATAGAGATTTGGTAGCAATCTTTGGGAATTGCTTGCTTAATTATTTCATTTTAACATAGTTTAATTATATATTATTTATGAATAAACATATGAATATTTACCCAATTTAGCGTTATTGTGCTAAGAAATTTGAAAATAAGTTATTTTCAGTGGTCGCTGGTTGCACTATTTAGTAGAACTTGCACGTTTTAAGGTTGTCATTACTTGACGGTGAGTTTGCTAGATTAATTTATATAATTGTAAGAGTATATTGTGATGTTTAAATTAATGCACTTGTACAATATTTTTAATTGTATCTTGGGCATATTTTAAAAAGTAACCTTTATCTGTTCTAATAGAGCACCTTAGTCCTTTTTTAAAACTTGTGAGAACTTTTGAGTCGGACCAAAAAAACAAGTGATTTAATTGTAGTGTTAGTTTTTTAGTATAAATTGAACAACAAAACATTCCAACACTTCTGACGAGCACAAGCCACAAGCAGGATTAATAAGGTTCAAACTCGTTACTTTAACTAATAGTGATAGTTACTAGAAGTTTTTATTATTTTTTTTACCTCCGACACCTTCTGTGGCGGAAGTTATGTTTTAACCCCTGTATGTATTGTCAGCAAAATTTCTCGAAAACGGCTTAATGAATTTGGACGAAAGTTGTTATACGTTTGGGACCCTGACGCAACTTAGATGGGATTAATTTTTAGAGTGAAGGTCACGAAAATAAAAATCCGTATATGTTAACATGGGGCCTGATTTTTCACACTATTTTTTACTATATAACTCGGTCAAAATTGATCGGATTTTGATGAAACTTGGACATGTCTATAATATTATTGCTCTGCCAAAAATGGTTCGTGTGCGTTGATAACGATGGTCACACTTGAGTATTTTTTGAGGGCCGAATATGATCAACGTTGTGTTGCGGAGGTATGCGATGTACTGAGTGCCCGTTAGTTTACAATGTTACTCGATAAGTGCAACATCGTCATATGATTGACAGTTTTAAGTTAGATCACAACCCTGAGTCCTTTTCATATTACAGCAAATGCTTAGGTTTGGACTTATTATTTGTTTAAAGGTTCACAAAAACGAGTTTTGAGGCAATTAAAGTGTTATTAGAATAGTTAAAACTAACTTATAGAAAACTGTAAAGATGTAGTTAAGCCATTGAAGAATCATAAACAACCTTACATAAGATAGCAAAGCTCTTGAAGTTATGGTAAATGTAGAATAATGTTTTTAATACATGGAATAAAGTTAAGAACAGTGGCATAGCAATAGATTGGGCAGCTGCTTCATACAAGTCATAGGCCTATCAAAATTGGTGTTTGAAATTTTAAACACTGGAAGGAGTGAAAAACATTATGAAACAAAACATTTTAATGGGAAGGAGGCCACAAAATATTTGCTTTGAAAGTTGAAGCCCTTTGACTCAAAGGGTGAGAACGAGTTATGCCATTGCATAAACAGTAAACTACTAGCACTAGGTAACAGTTTGGTCACTCACACATGATAAACTGATTGTTTTGATTTTCCTGAGAACTAATAAGGATTGCCTCCTGGTGGCTCACTGGTAAGTTTGAGGGGTTATAAAGCTAAAAATTGTTTTTTTATTCATGCAGTGGGCAGAGTATAGATAGCCCATTGTGTTGCTTGGTGCTTATCAACAAGTGAACAAAACAAACTACTGGGGTTTTATCTTCAATGTCTTTTCCTTTTTTTTGTAAGAAAGAAAAGACGTAATGCATATGCTACTTAAATATGAAATCATAATCTTTAGGCAGATTATATTATGGATTATTTGGTGTTTTGGTAAAAATATTTATCCCCGGATCCATCCGTGCTACTCTTGAGAAAATTTCGAGATGTAATAGGTAGGGTGAAAAAAGATATTAGGGAAACTTAAATTCTCTACTTGATGGTCATTTGCAGAATATGCTGAATAGAGCTGGATGATTTGTGGAATTTTAAAAGTAGTTTACATTCAGGCTTATTGGTCGATTACACTCATCTAAGTGATTATTTTTACATGAGACTTGGATAGTTGGAATAATGAAAAATATTAATAAAGACACTACTTTCAATTAGTTGATTATTTTTGTGGGTTGTGATGCTAATCAGTTAAATAACCTTGAATTAATCAAAAATAATAGTGATAATCATAATGACAGTATTTTAATTACTTGGACAGTTGGAATAATTGTAAATACTAATTTTGATTAGTTGATTATTTTTGTAACAGTTTAAACCTAATTTCAATTAATAACTTGGTGGAACAGCAGTAAGTCTATAGACAGTGCTAAAATCCAGGGTTTGTTTCTCGGTGGTGGACATAGCAGTTAGTCCAATGTAGCTTTGATTTAAAACAACCAAACCAAATCATCAATTGTTTTATGCAACACTAAATGATGTAATCAATACTTAATAAGTAATACATTATTAATTTAGTTTATTCTCCAGCTCCAGTGCTGAATGTTAGATTAGTTATTTTAACAATGTCTAGTTTATGCTATTTGATATGTGTATGGAAGATGAAACTAACAGTTGAAGATTTTAAAATATTAGGCAAAATACTTAACTTTTTATATATAAACTTGTAATATTATAAGACACTTAACCAAATATTTGCAGTGATGTTTGTTTTGTTTAATGTTTTCCAGCTTTTTTTAATGTTATTAGGGAACAGTTGCAATGGTATGACACTTTCAAACAAAACTGTAATATTTTCTGTTTTGATGTAGAGTTAGTTTTTAGTTATCTTTGTCAAATTAGTGTAGCTTATGGCATGTAAATTTCAGTTATTAAATATAACTACAGAAGCCTTAAAAAAATTTCAGAGCACATTTTTCAAATTTGAGACCACTCACTGAGCCCATTCAGATGTGGTGGAATTAAAATTAAAGGAACGTTACCCCCTGGTATCTACTTTGCTACTATGGTAATACAATCTTAAAAACCCTCCATTAACAGTAACCCTTTTTTGAGCAAATTTACTATTTAGTTTTGGTAATTTTTTCTTCACTATCTTCTTCTGATCCAATGATTGCTAGTTGATTTTTAGTTTCACCCTAATTACATACTGATTGCTGTTACTGTTGGTCTTTAATTCTGAAATGGAAAAGGATAACATAAAGTGATTCAGATATAAAAGAGAAGTTTTTACATGTTATTCAATGTTATTTCTTGTAGAAACATTTATTTTGTATTTAGAATTATTATGGTGTAAGGTATGGAATAAACAAAGAATTTAATTCTCTCATTTATATTGATATGGAAATGTTTATCTGAACTCTGCTTGCAACAAATGTTGTATGAATTTCACCATGGTGGTTTTCAAAATAATTTTATGCTTGTAAGAAGTTAATTAAACAAAAACAACACATGGAACAAGTAATGTGTATTTGTAGAAATAAACCATAAAAACACATTAGTACCAAATTTTAAATGCAGCTTTAATATCTGCTAAAGTGATTATTTATAACGGTAAAACTCTACATATAATACTTGTGTAGTAGTTTGTATTTTTTTCTGTAAAAATGAATAAAAAAACAATTTCTATATTAAACACCAAGTGATACTGTTGCTGATTATTTGTGATATCCCAATGTTTTTGAAGGTTTTGAATTCTTGTGTGTCAAAGAACTTAAAACAACCAAAATGAGATATTTTTTGAAAATATCTTGTATTAAGTTTGTTTTTATATGTGAGATACCTCTGTTTCTTACACATACTGTAGATCAAGGAGTAGTTTCTGAGGTTTTAAAAAGGCTATTAATTTAAGGAAGCAATGGTTGTTCTTGCATCATTTCAACCTCCAACAGAAGGAATTCGACATCAAGAGCCAAATACAATAGCACGTGTTAAGTCTAGAGATCTAGGGAAAGGAACTCTTTATATAGCAGAAAGGTAAGTAATCTATTAACATCTATGTTGATTTTGTAGTTATTCAGAATGCTGCATAATAATTCTATGTTCACTCAGTATGTACCATTATAATGTACAAATATTATAGCTGTAACCATTTTAAACTTGCAAAACAAATATATCTTTATTCTAGTAAGTCTTTTAAATGTTTTAAAGTTGTGCGCAGGTGTCCAGCACTTAGTGTGCATTGAACTGGGATTAAAGGGAGCAAAATTACAAAATATATTGCATTATAATATAAAGAGACTGCAATTCTTCCAACTGTTTCACTATTGCCTAATAGGCTTATCATAAAATGTGAAAATGAAGTTCAAAATTAGTTGTGAATTAGAAACAGAAAATCATTTCTGTTTTATGACCAACAAGATGGTGATGTTTCAAGAAGTTATTTGACAATTAAAAAGAGAGTTAGGCCTTTTTTTTCTCATGTCCAATTGTGCAGTACTGGTACAGACTGTTTTCAAATGTAATTTTAAGATGCCAGTTATCTAAGAGTTATATGTCAGAATGTGTAATATTTAATAATGAGGTTCAAGTGTTTCATAGTTCTTGTTTTGTTGCAAAAATGTAACCAACTTGGTTGTGTATGCCTATATTTGTGTTAGGGATGTTTTTGTTCAATTTATTATAGAATTTCATGAAATATTGAATAAAATTGTCTTTGCAGTGGACTGTTTCTCAAATATGAATAGGGCACATGCAGGGCTGATATGCTTATCAACCCTATTAGTAGAGCTAGGTGGCTATACTTTAAAATTGTTTCTTGAAGTGTTTGGCATTGGACATTTGAAGTGAGTGGTTAGGAATTTTGGTTATGCCAGTCCATCAATAAGATTAGGGTTGTGGTTAGAAGTTTCAGGAAAATTGTGAAGATTAGAATTGAAACATTTTAAGTGCAGAAAATACTTCTCATTGTTGCAGACTTCAGATAAACTAGAGCAACCAGGATTTTTTGTGGAAGTGTCCAGAAACTATAGTGACACCCAGTATCTTATCATTTCATAATCTATAGTACAGTTTGTTTTTAGGCTTTATAGCTGATTAAGACAAATTGACTTTATGACATGCTTATTTTTTTTATAATAGTGTAGTACTTTTGAATTGGTAGATTATTATCCTTGTCCCCAAAATCATAAAACCATTTTCTTCCTTCATCATTCAAGTTATTGTTATAAGTTTTTGAAGTATCATTTCAGCAAACGAAGAAAAAAAGATCACTTGTACAGTTGCAAAGTACCACTGTGTCTTGTAGATTTTGTTTAGAAGTTGCAATAAGGTAACTTTGATACTTTCCTGTTCCTGTAGTTCTTTTTTGATAGTCATAAATTTGTCTTGTACAGCAGTAGAACTGGGTGTTAGGTTCTCTGCTTGATCATATGCAATATGTGTTGAATAGAGATGTATGATTAGTAGTATTTTATAATTGATTGAATGTTGGGCTCATTATTCAATATTACATTCAAGTAATTGATTATTCTCATAAAACATTGCTAGTTGGATTAATTGATTATTTTTGTGAGTCATAAAGTGTTAAAATTAATGATTAAGCCAAACAACTTTGACTTAATTGGCAGTGTTTAGGTTGTTGTATATTTGGAGTAATCTTAAACATTATTGATAAGAAATACCAGTTTCAATTAGTTGATTGTATTTTGGGATATTACTAGATTTAATCAAAATTTCAATTAATCATTTGCTTTACATGACACTGCTGTAATCTTTGTTCATAGACAATTTATTATATTGATTAATTGAGTTAATCATTTAGCTCTATACAGTATTATGTACTGTAATGAAGGCAACAAGATTTCCCATCAGTGGCTATGTTTGAAATTTTGTTTGTGTTCATAACCTTAAAGTCTGAAGATAGTTGATATAAAGTTTAGCACAATATGAACATTGATCTGTCAATCTTTGTTTCTGCTGAACAGTTAGTCTGAGAAAAATACTTATTAAGAACAAAAATGTTTCTTTTTTATGAGGGAATTTCATGAAAAAACTGGACTTCCGCTATCGACTGATTAAAAAAAGTTTCAAAGATAGGATCATGAATTGAAAAAATGCATAAAGATAAGAAAATGTTTGAATATACATTTGACTTCACTCAATTTACTTGTATATATTTTTTTTCACATGGTATTATATACATGTGTGATTTTATTGTACTGTGTCAAATAAATTGAATTGAATATCACCACTATGTCATTTCTATAAGAAATGACAACTGTCTAAAAGCAATCACTTTAGTTGCAGTCTTTTCTTGTGCTCAGTAAAATGACAAGGAATGGTGGCATCCAGTAGAAAAGAAAAAATCCATGTGGTTATATAGCAAACCTGAGTGCTCTATTGTGCTGGATGCACCCATTGCATTGAAGGCCATATATGTTTGCTTACACTACATTGCAGTCAGTCTCCTTTGCTTAAAAACAAATGCAATGCAATTTTCCTTTTGGAAATAACATATGGAATGACAAAAGACTGTTGTAAATAGCCCGCTAGACAATCATATTGTATATATCCTCTGAACCAAGGGGTTGGATTGACTGCACATTTTATATTTATTCATCACTATTTTTAGGAAAATTATTGCTGAATTTATCAGTGGGTATCTGATAGTTATAATTTGTAGTAAAATAGAGCTGGATGATTAGTGGGATTTGACAATTGATCAATTGTCATCTCATTAATCAGTTAAATTCAACTAATTGGTTATTCTCACATGAGATTTGGATAATTAAAATACTTGTAAATAATAATAATTGAAAACCTAAATTTTAAAATTAGTTTATTTCTGTGAGTTGTGACACTGATCAATTAAATTGAATAACCATGGATTTAATTTCTTTTCAAGCTTGTTGAACTACTGTATATTAAAAGTAAAAGCATAAATTATGTTTTTTGGCACAGTGAAAGATAAATTCTTTATTAGTTGTTTTAGCTAATTAGTTTGGTAACATAGTTACCAACATCAGGTCTTCTGAATACAGCATTAGGTTAACCTATGTTAAACTTCAACTGTTAAATGGAGGGGGTGGTGGTAAATAGGAAATAAAGGAATACTTAAGACAGCTTTTCCAATAGGACACATTGATAGGTCTGTCATTTCTGTTTGTTCACACATCTGTTTTTAATTATTTAGATACTTTTTATGAAGTTTTTCTATGTTTGTTTTTGCATTTTTAAGATTTTCACATTTTTCCAATCATGTTTATCATCACGGTTCTATTAATGTTCAGCTACAGTTGAGGATAGGATGTTATATTTTATGTCTTATTAATGTCAACTACAACTAATTTTATACATTTGATCTTTGTCTTAGAATTTCTTTCTTGATAATTAAGTGTTTGTAAATGGTTAAATTTTTTTTCTGAGTAATGAAAGCTACTTTATAACCCTGCTAGGCCTACTTCAGCCATTTTTATACACATTTTACAGTTTTTCCCCTTCTTTTCCAGACATTTTATTTTCATTTCATGCTGAGCCTTTTTGTCTCTCTTTTGAGAGATTGTGCTGACATGCCTCGCCCTCCTTGGGCTTTGGCTCATTTTGCTTTAGCTTACCATCAGGCAGATTGTTTTTTGTTTTCTTGCTTCTCCATGTTTCAATTATCTGTTGCCTGTATGGGGGGCAAAATCTGTTTAATCTTATCCCTTTCTCTATAGCCAGTTTCCAGCCTTTGTTTTCCCCTATCACTTCTACTGGTATTGGCTACCATATACCTCCTTTCTGAGCCATTCTATCTATTTTTTGTGGGATACCTTCCTCCTCCTTACCTCAATGTTGTGGCAATTGCCATCTTCTTCAGCTCTTTCCATACAAACTTGGCTTCTTTGATTTTGGGATTTTCTTGGGTGGAACATTGTCTTGTACTAAGTTTGTTTCTCTTCCACTTCTAATTAGGACTTACGGACAGCTCTTTTTCTTCACTGGTCCATTTTTTTAGGAGGTGTTGCTCCTGTGAATTTAGCATTATGTGGGGTATCTGTTTTGTTCCGTTCAATTTTTTTTTTTTCTACTTCTTCCTCATTTGGCCCTTTGGCCATTGCATTCTTTATTCATATTCCATGTCTGGTATCTTTCCATCATTTACATGTTCTGCATCTAAGCATTTCTCCATTAGTCATATATTCTCAATGCAGATTAGATTTCTATGATTGATCTGTCTCACCTCATTCACTTCTTCATTCTTTCCTTTTTTCCTATATTGTCTTTTATCCTGTGGTGGGTTTTCTCCAGGACTGAGGATGCTCACGGTCGATGTTTTGGATTCTTATGCCCAAGTTCCTATTTTTCATCCCTCATGGTGCTGTCTTCAGGTTGTTCACCATGGGGTTGGGTATAAGTTTCATGCCTTGCTCTTTGAGCTTGTTTCAGATCTGTATGTCTTTGTCTCTGGTTCCTCATCCATTTGCCTTGGCTGTCGATGCATTCGGACAGGATTGGGACCTATTTATACATTTATTTTCTCATCCCATTTGTCATCTTACCTGGGTGATTTTGTTCATCCTTGCCATTTTATGTCAGGTCTTTCTGACTGCTCCTTCCTGGCAGATACAGATCTGGTTTTCTCAGCTGCTTTAGCTCGATCTGTCCTTTTTGTTCTGGATAAATTTTTATTGCCTCCTTTGGTGGTTCGTGGGGTATGTTCTTCCTTTTCATTTCCTTCTATTTCCTACCTTTAATCCCACTTGGGTCCAGTTGGCCTTCTATGTCCTGTACCTGCTCTGGGTTGCTTCTCTGCCTTCAAGACTTCTTTCAGCTGGTTCCTTTTCCTGCTGTTTTATTCCCTGGCACTACTCCCCTGTTTGTGACTTTTTCCTTCCTCCCTTGCTCTTTGGATTTGGGTTTTTTTTCCTTGTCTCCTTTTTTCCTGTAATCAATTCCTGGTATCTTCACTCTGATTAGGCACCTTCCCTTTTACCTGCATCTCACCTTTGTTGTACATTGGAGGTACTTCTTCCGTTGAGCACTGGGACTACACCTCGTATTTTTATCTCCCATTATCTGCTTCAGGTAGCTGTTTCTTCCTTGTTGGGGTACTGTCTTCCACTTGTTACCACCCTTCACTCTTTGGTGAGACTGTGACTGGATAAGATACCTTTTTTGTTCACATACCTCTTATTTTTCAGGGGCATGCCTCCCTTTTTTTTTTATTTACAGGTCCTGCTCTGTGCCAAATGGTGCCTGTTCAGGTATACTTAAATTAGTCAAATCCACACTGTAAGGCCATGATGACTTAACAGTTATCATTTCTGTGGCCACTAAATGCACACTGTTGAGATGAGGTGTTCCACAAGATTGCTTTAAGTTTCCTCGGAATACATTTGCTTCATTCATATACTCATTCTGGACCATATTAACACATGGAATTCATGGTAAAGCAGAAGGGGATAACTTCCCATCCCTGCCATTCCTTAAATTGAATAAATTGGGAGTGGTCTGTTTTTCAAAATAGGGTTTTCTTGGTCTCCTGTTGCACTGTTTCTGGTGTTGATGCTCCTTCAGACTCTCCACCACATTTTTCTCCCATATTTCTTCCAGTGGTGTATGGGAGCCCTTACCACTTTCCAGTTCCAAACCGCTGGGGTGGTGGACCATGGAGGCATCCACCTCAATGAGATAATGGTATATGATACAAATAATAAAGCCATTCAGTTGACAGTTGGGAGGTGGTGTTCTGCTGGTGTAGATGATGAGATATCCTTCAATCCAATGCTCCATCTCTGTTTGGGTTTATCCAAAGGGATGTTGCAGCTTTGGAGTGAGCAGTCAAAATTGCAGATCACCACTTCGATTGAAATCCTTCATCCTACCCCAACATGGATGTTGGTTCCCAGTGGCTAGGTTTTGGATTCAGAGCTGAACCCAAGGAACATACGTCCTCACACATGTATTATAGATGTGTCTGTTTCTTCACTCCCTTGTACTCTTGTTCCCTCCACCCAAGTTATTGTTCACTATGTTTGAACTTGCAGATTAATACAATTCTTCCTCTTACGCTATTCCGCAATGATTTTCTTATACAAAAGATGTTATTGCACTGGTGGAGGTTCCTGTCATATTGGCTTTTAGTGAAATAGTTTACGTTAGAGACATCTTTACTATATTGATCATCCGGATGTATTCGGCTTAACTTGAAGTGAAGACGGTATGATTCTCTTTCCTATCCCCACATGGATGTCTGTTCCTGGTGGCTGGGTATTGGATTGTAGTTTACTTGCTGTGTATGGTTCATCATGCCCTAGCTACTCTACACCTAGAGGCACATCTTTTTTACTCTCACCCACTTTACTATCTTCAAAGGGATTGAGATTCTGATATCAGGTGATTTGGTTTCCTATCAAAACATTGTTCTATCCCTTTTGGATGTGCTCTTCCCAATTTCCACCCATGTCCGTGACACCTCTTGCCACACTAGGTGAGGAGTATACTTGGTACAGAAGTGGTGTGGTCTCCCACATATGATCCTATACTGCAAGGACTTATTCTTTTAAGGTGTTCTTTGGAGGCTTCTTTCTTTCTTTCTTTCCTTTGCACTGGTCTCTCCACCTACTCAATGTGGGATTCTAGTTTTTTATGTGAGCTAATGTAATGGACCATATTGAAAATGTATTTCTGATAGATACTTACATTTCCCACTCTTCTTCCGCACTGAATACTGGTGCTTCTATTTTATTCCAAAACTCGAAGTGATATTTTGTTAGAATCAAATAGATGGAGTCACATGTGTCAGGAGGGTGTGTTGCACTTCTCTTGGTGGAGGTTTGTCGCATGGTGATTTTCATGCAAGATGCAGTTGAACCATGTTAATCTAGGTATACATGGGAGCTCAAGGCTTGTGGCGTGTTGAAAAAAATGTGCATATAGAGGGCAGCACTGAATGAGAATAGCTATTTATGTGAGAGGAGTTAAGTACCTATTAGAAATACATTTTCAGTATAGGAAAATTACAACTCGTTTATATATATATATATAAATATTTATCTTTGAGGCTCTTAAGTGTAACTTATGTTCAGTAATTGAAGTTTTTGTAACTTTTTTTTCAAACCATCAAATATAGTAAATTTTACATATTTATAAATTGTTTGGACTTAAACATTTTCTTTGCAGTCAACTTACATGGGTTGGAGAGAGTGGTCAAGGATTCTCTCTAAAATATCCAACTATTTCATTGCATGCTGTGTCTCGAGACTTGAATTCCTTTCCATCTGAATGTTTATATTTGATGACTGATGCTGATTTAGAAAGTAATGGTATGTTGGTTTTAATTTATTAATTTG